TCGGCCGCGGCCAAGAAGGAGCTGAGGGACGCCTTCGAGAGGGACAGCGCGGGGGTGGAGCTGTCCGACCGCCTCTGGCCAGACATCAACGTGGTCACCGGTGAGGGACACCTGGGGACACCTTGGGGACACCTTGGGGACATCCAGGGTGGGAGTTTGGGGGATTTTTGGTGTCTCCAAGGGAGGGGACAGCGCGGGGGTGGAGCTGTCCGACCGCCTCTGGCCAGACATCAACGTGGTCAGTGGTGAAGGACACCTGGGGACACCTGGGGACACCTTGGAGACACCTTGGGGACACCTGGGGACACCTTGGGGACACCTTGGGGACACCTGGGGACACCCTGGGGACACCTTGGGGACGTCCAGGGGTGGGAGTTTGGGGGATTTTTGGGGATCTTTTGGGGATTTTGGGGGATTTTTTGGGGTCTCCAAGGGAGAAGCACAATTGGGATCCTGGTCCCAAAATGGGATCCTAGTCCCAAAAATGGGATCCCGGTCCCAAAATGGGACCTCAGCCCCAAAATGGGATCCCAGCCCCAAAATGGGATCCTGGTCCCAAAAATGGGATCCTGGTCCCAAAATGGGATCCCTGCCCCAAAATGGGATCCCAGTCCCAAAATGGGATCCTGGTCCCAAAATGGGATCCTGGTCCGAAAAATGGGATCCCAACCCCACAAATGGGATCCCGGCCCCACAAATGGGGTCTCAGCCCTAAAATTGGGATTCTGGCCTTAAAATGGGATCCCAGTACCCAAAATGGGATCCTGGTCTGAAAAATGGGATCCCAACCCCTCTGTGGGGCTGGGATCCCTCTGTGGGGCTGGGATCGATTGGGATTGTGGGGTGCCTGGGAGCCCCGGAGAGGGTGGGAACAGGATCGGGAATGGGATTGGGAATGGGAATGGGAAAGGGAATGGGATAATGGGAATGGGATAATGGGAATGGGAATATGGGAATGGGAATGGGAATATGGGAATGGGAACGGGAATGGGAACAGGAATGGGAATATTAGGATGGGGATGGGAATGGGAACAGGAATATGGGAATGGGATAATGGGAATGGGGATGGGAGTGGGAATATTGGGACTATGGGAATGAGCACCCAGGTGCCACCCGGTGCCAGCGCTGCCGTGTCCCCAAGGCCACGCTGGGCCGGCTGCTGTCCCACCTGAGCCTGGTGGGGACACGGCAGGAACGGGAATGGGAATGGGAGAATGGGAGAATGGGAATGGGAATGGGGATGGGATAATGGGAATGGGGATGGGAATGGGAATGGGAATGGGATAATGGGAGAATGGGAATGGGAATATGGGAATAGGAATGGGATAATGGGAACGGGAATGGGAATGGGATAATGGGAGAATGGGAATGGGGATGGGAATGGGAATGGGAGTGGGAATCTTGGCACTATGGGAATGAGCACCCAGGTGCCAGCCAGGTGCCAGCCGGTGCCACCTGGTGTGTCCCCAAGGCCACGCTGGGCCGGCTGCTGTCCCACCTGAGCCTGGTGGGGACACGGCGGGAACGGGAATGGGAATGGGAATGGGAATATGGGAATGGGATAATGGGAACGGGAATGGGGATGGGATAATGGGAATGGGGGCCGGATTTGGGGTGGGGGTTGGGTTTGGGGTCAGGGGGGGATTTGGGGCCGGATTTGGGGTCGGGTTTGGGGTCAGGGCAGGATTTGGGGTCAGGGCCAGATTTGGGGTCAGGTTTGGGGTCAGGCAGGGATTTGGAGCTGGATTTGGGGTTGGGGTCATGTTTGGGGTCAGATTTGGGGTCAGAGCCACATTTGGGGTCGGGGTCAGATTTGGGGTCGGGGTCCCGGCTGACCCTGAAGGATTTCGATGCCCTGATCCGGGAGCTGGAGCGGGAACTGGGGACACGGCCGGACGTGGGGCTGTGACACCGAGGGGACATCGAGGGGACATCGGGGACACGGCCGGACATGGGGCTGTGACACCGAGGGGACACCGAGGGGACATCGAGGACATCGGGGACATCATGAGGACATCGAGGGGACATTGAGGGGACTTTGGGGACATCGAGGACATCGAAGGGACTTCAAGGGAACATCATGAGGACATCGAGGGGACATCGAGGGGACATCAAAGGGACCTCGAGGGGACATTGGGGACATCGAGGACATCGTGAGGACATTGCGGGGACATTGGGGACATCGAGGACATCAAGGACATCGAGGGGACATTGGGGACGCGGAGGGGACACGGCCGGACGCGGGGCTGTGACGTTCCCACCAAAAATCCCCAAAATTTCCCCCAAATCCCCGGAGCGTGAAGCCCCTCCCCCCTCCCAGGGCCACCAATGTCCCCTCGGTGTCCCCTCCCTCCCTTTTGTCACTGTCCCCAGATTGTCACCGCAATAAAGGACACGGCTCTTTATTCCCACGGGGGTGGCACTGCCCAAAGTGTCCCCAAAGTGTCCCCAAGGGGGGAGGGCACTGCCCAAAGTGTCCCCAAGGGGGGGTGGCAGTCACTCAGTGGTCAGCTGGTCACTATGGGTCAGTCAAGGGTCAGTGGTCACTCTAAGTGTCCCCAAAGTGTCCCCAAGGGGAGATGGCAGTGCCCAAAGTGTCCCCAACATGTCCCCAAGGGGGGGATGGCATTGCCCAAACTGTCCCCAACGTGTCCCCAAGGGGGGATGGCACTGCCCAAAGTGTCCCCAAGGGGGGATGGCACTGCCCAAAGTGTCCCCAAGGGGGGGTGGCACTGCCCAAAGTGTCCCCAAAGTGTCCCCAAGGGGGGGTGGCATTGCCCAAAGTGTCCCCAAGGGGGGGTGGCACTGCCCAAAGTGTCCCCAAAGTGTCCCCAAGGGGGGGTGGCATTGCCCAAAGTGTCCCCAAGGGGGGGTGGCATTGCCCAAAGTGTCCCCACCAAAGTGTCCCCAAGGGGCCGAGACCTTCCCCAAGGTGTCCCCAAGGGGGGGTGGCATTGCCCAAAGTGTCCCCAAGGGGGGGTGGCACTGCCCAAAGTTTCCCCAAGGGGGGATGGCACTGTCCAAAGTGTCCCCAACGTGTCCCCAAGGGGGGATGGCACTGCCCAAAGTGGCCCTGGAGGAGCTGGCAGTCCCCAAAATGTCCCCTGCCACCCCTTGGGGCCAGTCTGGTGACCCTTGGTGGCCGTTGGTGGCACTTGGTGGCCCTTGGTGACATTTGATGACACTCTGTTGACACTCTGATGACCCCTGGTGACATTTGGTGGCCCTTGGTGACAGACACGGAGCCCTGCCGGAAGTCGCCGGGGCCCAGGAAGGCATTGATGAGGACGGGGTGGCCTTGGGGACATTTGGGGACACTCATTGACACTTGGTGACACTCGGTGACATTCTGTGACACCTGATGACCCTTGGGGACGTTTGGTGGCACCTGATGACCCTTGGTGAGACTTGCTGACCCTTGGGGACACTCAGTAACACTCGATGACACTCAATGACATTTGGTGACACTCTGGGGACATTTGGTGACCCTTGATGACACTCGGTGGCACTCGGTGACCCTTGGGGACATTTGGTGATGCGCAGGGACACTCGGTGACCCTTTGGGATGCTCAGTGATATTCAGAGACATACAATGACACCCAATGACACTCGATGACCCTTGGGGACACTCAATGACACTCAATGACACTCGACATTTGGTGACCCCTGGTGACATTTGGTGTCCCTCAGACGGACACGGAGCCCTGCCGGAAGTCGCCGGGGCCCAGGAAGGCGTTGACGAAGACGGGGTGGCCTTGGGGACATTTGGGGACACTTGAGGATGCTCAGTGACCCTTGGGGGCTCTTGGTGACCCTTGGGGACACACAGTGACACTCGGTGGCACTTGGGGACACTCAATGACACTCAATGACACTCAATGACATTTGGTGACACTCTGGTGACACTTGGTGACACTGTGGTGACATTTGGTGTCCCTCAGACGGACACGGAGCCCTGCCGGAAGTCGCTGGGGCCCAGCAGGGCGTTGACGAGGACGGGGTGGCCTTGGGGACACTCGGGGACATGTGATGACCCTTGAGGATGCTCAGCGACCCTTGGGGACTCTTGGTGACCCTTGGGGACACGCAGTGACACTCGGTGGCACTTGGGGACCCTTGGTGACATTGGGTGACCCTCGGGAACCCTCAGGGACACTCAATGACCCTTGGGGACACTCAATGACACTCAATAACACTCAATGACACTCAGTGACACTCTGGTGGCATTTGGTGACACTCTGGTGACATTCAGTGGCCCTCGGTGACATTTGGTGTCCCTCAGACGGACACGGAGCCCTGCTGGAAGTTGCCGGGGCCCAGGAAGGCGTTGACGAGGACGGGGTGGCCTTGGGGACACTCGGGGACACTTGAGGATGCTCAGTGACCCTTGGGGACACTCAATGGTGTTTGGAAGGGGGGATGGCACTGCCCAAAGTGTCTCCAACGTGTCCCCAAGGGGGGGTGGCACTGCCCAAAGTGTCCCCAAGGGGGGGTGGTACTGCCCAAAGCTTCCCCAAAGTGTCCCCAAGGGGGGGTGGCACTGTCCAAACTGTCCCCAGCGTGTCCCCAAGGGGGGGTGGCACTGCCCAAAGTGTCCCCAAGGGGGGATGGCACTGCTCAAAGTGTCCCCATGGGGGGGTGGCAGTCCCCAAAATGTCCCCTGCCACCCCTTGGGGCCAGTCTGGTGACCCTTGGTGGCCGTTGGTGGCACTTGGTGACATTTGATGACACTCTGTTGACACTCTGATGACCCCTGGTGACATTTGGTGTCCCTCAGACAGACACGGAGCCCTGCCGGAAGTCGCCGGGGCCCAGGAAGGCGTTGACGAAGACGGGGTGGCCTTGGGGACATTTGGGGACACTCATTGACACTTGGTGACATTTGGTGACACTCTGGTGACATTTGGTGTCCCTCAGACGGACACGGAGCCCTGCCGGAAGTCGCTGGGGCCCAGGAAGGCGTTGACGAGGACGGGGTGGCCTTGGGGACACTCGGGGACATGTGATGACCCTTGAGGATGCTCAGCGACCCTTGGGGACTCTTGGTGACCCTTGGGGACACGCAGTGACACTCGGTGGCACTTGGGGACCCTTGGTGACATTGGGTGACCCTCGGGAACCCTCAGGGACACTCAATGACCCTTGGGGACACTCAATGACACTCAATAACACTCAATGACACTCAGTGACACTCTGGTGGCATTTGGTGACACTCTGGTGACATTCAGTGGCCCTCGGTGACATTTGGTGTCCCTCAGACGGACACGGAGCCCTGCTGGAAGTTGCCGGGGCCCAGGAAGGCGTTGACGAGGACGGGGTGGCCTTGGGGACACTCGGGGACACTTGAGGATGCTCAGTGACCCTTGGGGACACTCAATGGTGTTTGGTGGCACTCGGTGACCCTTGGTGACATTTGGTGATGTGCAGGGACACTCGGTGACCCTTTGGGATGCTCAGTGATATTCAGAGACACTCAATGACACCCAATGACACTCGATGACATTTGGTGACACTGGTGACATTTGGTGTCCCTCAGATGGACACGGAGCCCTGCCGGAAGTCGCCGGGGCCCAGCAGGGCGTTGACGAGGACGGGGTGGCCTTGGGGACATTTGGGGACACGTGATGACCCTTGAGGATGCTCAGTGACCCTTGGGGACTCTTGGTGACCCTTGGGGACACTCCGTGATGTTTGGTGGCACTCGGTGACCCTTGGGGACGCTCAATGGTATTCAGTGACACTCGATGACACTCGGTGGCATTTGGTGACCCTTGATGACACTCGGTGGCACTTGGGGACCCTCGGGGACATTTGGTGACCCTCGGTGACCCTTGGGGACACTCAATGACACTCGATGACATTTGGTGGCCCTCGGTGACATTTGGTGTCCCTCAGACGGACACGGAGCCCTGCCGGAAGTCGCTGGGGCCCAGCAGGGCGTTGACGAGGACGGGGTGGCCGCGGTGACACTCGGCCTGCGCCGCCCTCAGCACGGCCACCAGCCTGTCCTGGATGTCCCCCGCGCTGTCCCCCGCGCTGTCCCCGGCGCTGTCCCCGGCGCTGTCCCCCGCGCTGTCCCCGGCGCTGTCCACCACGAAGCCGCGGCCGCCCAGCGCCTCCGCCACCGCGTGGTAATCTGGGGACACGGGTGGCACTGTCACCGGGGGGTGGCATTGTCATTGGGGGGTGGCACTGTCACCTCCATGAGGGGTGGCACTGTCACCAGGGGGTGGTCTTGTCACCAGGGGTGGCATTGTCGCCAGGAATGGCATTGTCACCTCCAGGGGGTGGCGTTGTCATCAGGGGTGGCATGGGGACAGTGGGTGGCAGTCACCAGTGGGGGTGGTTCACCTCCATGAGGGTGGCACTGTCACCAGGGGGTGGTCTTGTCACCAGGGGTGGCATGGGGACAGTGGGTGGCATTGTCACCACTGGGAGTGGCATTGTCACTGCTTGGGGTGGCATTGTCACCTCCAGGAGGTGGCACTGTCACCAGGGGGACAGGGAGGTGGTCACTATGGGGTCACTCAGTGGTCAGTGGTCACTCAGTGGTCACTATGGGTCAGTGGTCACTCAGTGGTCACTCAGGGGTCACTCACCGCTGTAGGCCAGGCTGCAGCCCACGGCGCTGCCCAGCAGGGGGAGCTGCTCGCGGCTGATCTGGGTCCAGCCGGCGTCGTTGCCAACCAGGGCGATGACCGGGACCTGGGACAGGGGACAAAGTGACACGGGGGAAAAAGTGACACACAGGGGGCACGGGGACAGGGACCTGGGACAGGGACAGGGACCGGGGACAGGGGACAAAGTGACACGGGGGAAAAAGTGACACACAGGGGGCACGGGGACAGGGACCTGGGACAGGGACAGGGACCGGGGACAGGGGACAAAGTGACACGGGGGAAAAAGTGACACACAGGGGGCACGGGGACAGGGACCTGGGACAGGGACAGGGACCGGGGACAGGGGACAAAGTGACACGGGGGAAAAAGTGACACACAGGGGGCACGGGGACAGGGACCTGGGACAGGGACAGGGACCGGGGACAGGGGACAAAGTGACACGGGGGAAAAAGTGACACACAGGGGGCACGGGGACAGGGACCTGGGACAGGGACAGGGACCGGGGACAGGGGACAAAGTGACACGGGGGAAAAAGTGACACACAGGGGGCACGGGGACAGGGACCTGGGACAGGGACAGGGACCGGGGACAGGGGACAAAGTGACACGGGGGACACAGGGACACAGGGACAGGCACTTGGGACAGCGGGGACACAGGGGACAAAGTGACACAGCCGCGACAGGGACAGTGACAATAACAGTGACAATGACAATGAAAATGCCAGTGACAATGACACAGTGACAATGGCACAGTGACAGTGACAGTGACACAGTGACAGTGACACAGTGACAATGAGACAGTGACAATGACACGGTGACAGTGACAATGACAGTGACAGTGACCTTGTGGCGCACGAAGGTGTCGAACTCCATCAGGCTGAAGCCCAGGGAGCCGTCCCCGAACAGCACCCACACCTGCAGTGTCACCAGAGTGTCACTGAGTGTCACCCGATGTCACCAGAGTGTCACCCAGTGTCACTGAGTGTCACCCAATGTCACCAGAGTGTCACCGAGTGTCACCAGTGTCACCCGGTGTCACCCAGTGCCACCCACACCTGGCAGTGCCACCAGAGTGTCACCAGAGTGTCACCAGAGTGTCACCCGGTGTCACCAGAGTGTCACCGGTGTCAGTGAGTGTCACCCAGTGTCACCAGAGTGTCACCCAGTGCCACCCACACCTGGGACTGTCCCCACGTGTCACCCGCCCCAATGTCCCCAATCCCTCCCCTGTCCCCACTGTGCCCCCACTGTCCCCTCAGTGACCTCAGTGTCCCCTCATGTCCCCCCAATGTCCCCATGTCCCCCTGTCCCCCCGTGTCCCCCCGTCCCCGGTGTCCCCCCGGTGTCACCTCAGCCTCGGGCCGGCAGAGTTTGGCCCCGAGCGCGAATCCTCCGCCCACGCCCAGAGTGCCAAAGGGACCTGAGGGGACACGGGGACATCAGTGCCACCATTGGGGACATCAGTGCCCCCACCGGGGACATCAGTGCCACCACCGGGGACACAGGGGACACGGGGACATCAGTGCCACCACCGGGGACATCAGTGCCACCATTGGGGACAGCAGGGACACGGGGACATCAGTGCCACCACCGGGGACACGGGGACATCAGTGCCACCGCTAGGGACAGCAGGGACATGGGGACATCAGTGCCACCGCTGGGGACACGGGGACATCAGTGCCACCATTGGGAACATGGGGACATCAGTGCCACCACCAGGACACGGGGACATCAGTGCCATCACCGGGACAGCAGGGACACGGGGATATCAGTGCCACCACCGGGACATGGGGGACAGCGGGGACATCAGTGCCACCACTGGGGACAGCAGGGACACAGGGGACACGGGGGACATCAGTGCCACCACTGGGACATGGGGGACACGGGGGACAGCGGGGACATCAGTGCCACCACCAGGAACACAGAGGACAGCGGGGACATCAGTGCCACTACCGGGACATGGGGGACACGGGGGACAGCGGGGACGTCAGTGCCACCACCAGGGACACAGAGGACAGTGGGGACATCAGTGCCACTGGGGACAGCACCAGGGACAGCTGGGACACCAGGGGACACAGGGGACATGAGGGGACATCAGTGCCACCAAACCAGGGACACAGGGGACATCAGTGCCACCATTGGGGACAGCAGGGACACAGGGGACAGTGGGGACATCAGTGCCACCGCACTGGGGACAGCGGGGACACGAGGGGATGTCACCGCCCCTGCACCGGCCGTGTCCCTGTGTGTCCCCATGGGGTCTGGCCATGTCCCCACATGTCCCCATGAGTCCCCAAGGGGTCTGGCCATGTCCACAAATGTCCCCATGGGGTCTGGCTGTGTCCCCAGGCTGTCCCCACATGTCCCCATGGGGTCTGGCCATGTCCCCAAATGTCCCCACGTGTCCACACATGGTCTGGCCGTGTCCCCAAGGGGTCTGGCCGTGTCCCCATGTGTCCCCACATGGTCTGACCATGTCCCCAAGGGATCTGGCTGTGTCCCCAAGCTGTCACCACGTGTCCCCAAGGGGTCTGGCCATGTCCCCACATGTCCCCAAAGGGTCTGGCTGTGTCCCCACATGTCCTCATGTGTCCCCATGGGGTCTGGCCATATCCCCAAATGTCCCCACGTGTCCCCAAGGGGTCTGGCCATGTCCCCAAATGTCCCCACGTGTCCCCAAGGGGTCTGGCCATGTCCCCAAATGTCCCCACGTGGTCCCAAGGGGTCTGGCCATGTCCCCAAATGTCCCCAAAGGGTCTGGCCGTGTCCCCAAGCTGTCCCCATGTGTCCCCAAGGGGTCTGGCCATGTCCCCACGTGTCCCCACGTGTCCCCAAGGGCGGGGACACGGGGACATCAGTGCCACCGCTGGGGACAGCAGGGACACAGGGGACACGGGGGACATCAGTGCCACCATTGGGGACACAGGGACATCAGTGCCACCATTGGGGACAGCAGGGACACGGGGACATCAGTGCCACCACCGGGGACACGGGGACATCAGTGCCACCGCTGGGGACAGCAGGGACACAGGGGACACGGGGGACATCAGTGCCACCATTGGGGACAGCAGGGACACAGGGGACAGTGGGGACATCAGTGCCACCGCCACCGCACTGGGGACAGCGGGGACACGAGGGGATGTCACCGCCCCTGCACCGGCCGTGTCCCTGTGTGTCCCCATGGGGTCTGGCCATGTCCCCACATGTCCCCATGAGTCCCCAAGGGGTCTGGCCATGTCCACAAATGTCCCCATGGGGTCTGGCTGTGTCCCCAGGCTGTCCCCACATGTCCCCATGGGGTCTGGCCATGTCCCCAAATGTCCCCACGTGTCCACACATGGTCTGGCCGTGTCCCCAAGGGGTCTGGCCATGTCCCCAAATGTCCCCATGGGGTCTGGCCGTGTCCCCGAGCTGTCCCCGCGTGTCCCCAAGGGGTCTGGCCGTGTCCCCAAATGTCCCCACGGGGTCTGGCCATGTTCCCAAGCTGTCCCCGTGTGTTCCCTTAGGGTCTGGCTGTGTCCCCACATGTCCCCACGTGTCCCCAAGGGGTCTGGCCATGTCCCCACATGTCCCCAAAGGGTCTGGCTGTGTCCCCACATGTCCTCATGTGTCCCCATGGGGTCTGGCCATATCCCCAAATGTCCCCACGTGTCCCCAAGGGGTCTGGCCGTGTCCCCAAATGTCCCCACGTGTCCCCAAGGGGTCTGACCATGTCCCCACGTGTCCCCAAAGGGTCTGGCCGTGTTCCCAAGCTGTCCCCACGTGTCCCCAAGGGGTCTGGCCATGTCCCCAAATGTCCCCAAAGGGTCTGGCCGTGTCCCCAAGCTGTCCCCATGTGTCCCCAAGGGGTCTGGCCATGTCCCCACGTGTCCCCAAGGGGTCTGGCCGTGTCCCCAAGTTGTCCACACATGGTCTGGCCATGTCCCCACGTGTCCCCAAGGGGTCTGGCTGTGTCCCCACGCTGTCCCCAGGTGTTCCCTTGGGATCTGGCCATGTCCCCACCTGTCCCCACGTGTCCCCAAGGGGTCTGGCTGTGTCCCCAAGCTGTCCCCACGGGTCCCCAAGGGGTCTGGCCATGTCCCCAAGCTGTCCCCGTATGTCCCCAAGGCTCTGGCCATGTCCCCACATGTCCCCAAGGGGTCTGACCATGTCCCCACTGGGAATGAACCCAAAAAATCCCAAAAAAAGGGGAATGGGGGGGTTTGACCCCAAAACTCCCCCCAAAATTCCTCCCTGTCCCCTCCCTGTCCCCATTCCCATTTCCGTGTCCCCACTTTGTCCCCATCCCCATCGCTGTCCCCACCCCTGTCCCCTCCCTGTCCCTGTCCCTGTCCCCACCCTCGTGTCCCCATGCCCGTCCCCGTGTCCCAGTCCTTTGTGTCCCTGTCCCCGTGTCCCCTCACTGGCTCCTTTGCTCTTTGTCCCCATCCCTGTCCTGTCCCCTCTGTCCCCTCACCAGTTCCTCTGCTCCCTGTCCCCATCCCTGTCCCTGTCCCCATCCTTGTCCCCACCTTGTCCCTGTCCCCATCCTGCTGTCCCCATCCCTGTCCCCACCTTGGTGTCCCCACCCCTGTCCCCATCCCCACCTTGTCCCCATCCTGATGTCCCCACGCATGTCCCTGTCCCTGTCCCTGTCCCTGTCCCTGTCCCTGTCCCCTCTGTCCCCTCATGTCCCTGTCCCTGTCCCCGTCCCTGTCCCCATCCCTGTCCTGTCCCCTCTGTCCCCTCACCAGTTCCTCTGCTCCCTGTCCCCATCCCTGTCCCCGTCCCTGTCCCTGTCCCTGCTGTCCCTGTCCCTGTCCCCGTCCCTGTCCCCATCCCTGTCCTGTCCCCTCTGTCCCCTCACCAGTTCCTCTGCTCCCTGTCCCCATCCCTGTCCCCGTCCCTGTCCCTGTCCCTGCTGTCCCTGTCCCTGTCCCCGTCCCTGTCCCCATCCCTGTCCTGTCCCCTCTGTCCCCTCACCAGTTCCTCTGCTCCCTGTCCCCATCCCTGTCCCCGTCCCTGTCCCTGTCCCTGCTGTCCCTGTCCCTGTCCCCGTCCCTGTCCCCATCCCTGTCCTGTCCCCTCTGTCCCCTCACCAGTTCCTCTGCTCCCTGTCCCCATCCCTGTCCCCGTCCCTGTCCCTGTCCCTGCTGTCCCTGTCCCTGTCCCCGTCCCTGTCCCCATCCCTGTCCTGTCCCCTCTGTCCCCTCACCAGTTCCTCTGCTCCCTGTCCCCATCCCTGTCCCCGTCCCTGTCCCTGTCCCTGCTGTCCCTGTCCCTGTCCCCGTCCCTGTCCCCATCCCTGTCCTGTCCCCTCTGTCCCCTCACCAGTTCCTCTGCTCCCTGTCCCCATCCCTGTCCCCGTCCCTGTCCCTGTCCCTGCTGTCCCTGTCCCTGTCCCCGTCCCTGTCCCCATCCCTGTCCTGTCCCCTCTGTCCCCTCACCAGTTCCTCTGCTCCCTGTCCCCATCCCTGTCCCCGTCCCTGTCCCTGTCCCTGCTGTCCCTGTCCCTGTCCCCGTCCCTGTCCCCATCCCTGTCCTGTCCCCTCTGTCCCCTCACCAGTTCCTCTGCTCCCTGTCCCCATCCCTGTCCCCGTCCCTGTCCCTGTCCCTGCTGTCCCTGTCCCTGTCCCCGTCCCTGTCCCCATCCCTGTCCTGTCCCCTCTGTCCCCTCACCAGTTCCTCTGCTCCCTGTCCCCATCCCTGTCCCCGTCCCTGTCCCTGTCCCTGCTGTCCCTGTCCCTGTCCCCGTCCCTGTCCCCATCCCTGTCCTGTCCCCTCTGTCCCCTCACCAGTTCCTCTGCTCCCTGTCCCCATCCCTGTCCCCGTCCCTGTCCCTGTCCCTGCTGTCCCTGTCCCTGTCCCCGTCCCTGTCCCCATCCCTGTCCTGTCCCCTCTGTCCCCTCACCAGTTCCTCTGCTCCCTGTCCCCATCCCTGTCCCCGTCCCTGTCCCTGTCCCTGCTGTCCCTGTCCCTGTCCCCGTCCCTGTCCCCATCCCTGTCCTGTCCCCTCTGTCCCCTCACCAGTTCCTCTGCTCCCTGTCCCCATCCCTGTCCCCGTCCCTGTCCCTGTCCCTGCTGTCCCTGTCCCTGTCCCCGTCCCTGTCCCCATCCCTGTCCTGTCCCCTCTGTCCCCTCACCGGTTCTGCCGCTCCTTGTCCCTCTCCCTGTCCCATCCCTGTCCCCTCCGTCCCTGTCCCCACTGTTCCCATCCCTGTCCCCGGTATCCCTGTCCCTGTCCCCATGTCCCCTCACCAGTTCCTCTGCTCCCTGTCACCAGTTCCTGTGCTCCCCTGTGTCCCTGTCCCTGTGTCCCTCTGTCCCCTGTGTCCCTGTCCCTGTCCCCTGACCAGTTCCTGTGTCCCTGTCCCTGTCCCCATGTCCCCTCACCAGTTCCTGTGCTCCCCTGTGTCCCTGTCCCTGTGTCCCTCTGTCCCCTGTGTCCCTGTCCCTGTCCCCTGACCAGTTCCTGTGTCCCTGTCCCTGTCCCCATGTCCCCTCACCAGTTCCTGTGCTCCCCTGTGTCCCTGTCCCTGTGTCCCTCTGTCCCCTGTGTCCCTGTCCCTGTCCCCTGACCAGTTCCTGTGTCCCTGTCCCTGTCCCCATGTCCCCTCACCAGTTCCTGTGCTCCCCTGTGTCCCTGTCCCTGTGTCCCTCTGTCCCCTGTGTCCCTGTCCCTGTCCCCTGACCAGTTCCTGTGTCCCTGTCACTGTCCCCATGTCCCCTCACCGGTTCCTGTGCTCCCCGACCAGAGACACCGGGGACACGGAGGGACACCAGGGACACGGTGACACCGGGGACCCCAGAGTAACACCTGGGACATGGAGGGACACCAGGGACACGGTGACACCAGAGTGACACCAGGGACGCGGGGTCACCTGCGGGGCCAGAGGGACACGGTGACACCAAGGACACGGAGGGACACCCGGGACAGAGGGACACCGGGGACATGGGGACACCAGGGACACGGAGTGACACCAGGGACACGGAGGGACAACAGGGACACGGTGACACCGGGGACACAGGGACACCAGGGATCCCAGAGTGACACCAGGGACCCCAGAGTGACACCAGGGACCCAGAGTGACACCAGGGACCTCAGTGACACCAGGGACCCTGAACTGGCTCAGTTCCACCCCAAACCGGCTCAGTTTGACACCAAACCAGATTAATTCAGCCCCAAACCGGTTCAGTTCCAATCCAAACCGGCTGTTTGACCCCAAACCGGTTCACTCTGACCCCAAACCGGTTCATTCTGACCCCAAACCGGTTCATTTGTGTCCCCAAAGTCCCCATTTGTGTCCCCAAAGAGCCTCACCCTGCACGGCCAGACGCGGTTTCCAGAAGACGTCAGGTCATGGTTTGACCAAAAACTGCCTCATTTTGACCTCAAAACCGCCTCATTTTGACCCCAAAATTGCCTCATTTTGACCCCAAAACCGCCTCATTTTGACCCCAAAACCGCCTCATTCTGACTCAAAACCACCTCATTCTGACCCCAAACCGGCTCATTCCGACCCCAAACCAGTTCATTTGTGTCCCCAAAGTCCCCATTTGTGTCCCCAAGTGCCTCACCCTGCACGGCCAGCCGCGGTTTCCAGAAGACGTCGGAGTTGCGCAGCAGCTGCGCCCGGTCACAGTTTGACCCAAAACCGGTTCATTCTGACCCCAAACTGGTCCATTCTGACCCCAAACCGGTTCATTCTGACCCCAAACCAGTTCATTTGTGTCCCCAAAGTCCCCATTTGTGTCCCCAAAGAGCCTCACCCTGCACGGCCAGCCGCGGTTTCCAGAAGACGTCGGAGTTGCGCAGCAGCTGCGCCCGGTCGCGGTTGACGGCCACCACGGCGGTGCCGCGGCCGAAGAGGCGCCCGTAGGACAGGCGGAAATCGCAGACGGTCCCTTGGGGCGGGCAGGGGACGCGGGGGGAGGGTCAGGAGGGGACAGGGGGACACGGGGAGGTGGCCCCGCGTCCCCCGAGGTACCTGCCAGCAGCACCAGGTCGGCGTCGCGCAGCGCGTCGCGGCGGTTCTGCCGCAGCAGCAGGGGACACTCGGGGGGCAGCAGCCCCCGCGCCGCGCCCCCCAGGTAGCAGGGGACACCCAGGGACTCCAGCGCCGAGCTGGGGACACACGAGGGGACAGCGGCACCGTTTGCACCCAAACCGGCTCCGTTTGGACCCAAAGTGGCTCGGTTTGGACCCAAAGTTTGGACCCAAAGTGGCTCGGTTTGGACCCAAAGTGGCTCGGTTTGGACCCAAACCGGCTCGGTTTGGACCCAAAGTGGCTCGGTTTGGACCCAAACCGGCTCCGTTTGGACCCAAAGTGGCTCGGTTTGGACCCAAACCGGCTCCGTTTGGACCCAAAGTGGCTCGGTTTGGACCCAAAACTGGCTCAGTTTGGACCCAAAGTGGCTCGGTTTGGACCCAAAACTGGCTCAGTTTGACACCAAACCAGATTAATTCAGCCCCAAACCGGTTCAGTTCCAATCCAAACCGGCTGTTTGACCCCAAACCGGTTCACTCTGACCCCAAACCGGTTCATTCTGACCCCAAACCGGTTCATTCTGACCCCAAACCGGTTCATTCTGACCCCAAACCGGTTCATTCTGACCCCAAACCGGTTCATTTGTGTCCCCAAAGTCCCCATTTGTGTCCCCAAAGAGCCTCACCCTGCACGGCCAGACGCGGTTTCCAGAAGACGTCAGGTCATGGTTTGACCAAAAACTGCCTCATTTTGACCTCAAAACCGCCTCATTTTGACCCCAAAATTGCCTCATTTTGACCCCAAAACCGCCTCATTTTGACCCCAAAACCGCCTCATTCTGACTCAAAACCACCTCATTCTGACCCCAAACCGGCTCATTCCGACCCCAAACCGGTTCATTTGTGTCCCCAAAGTCCCCATTTGTGTCCCCAAAGAGCCTCACCCTGCACGGCCAGCCGCGGTTTCCAGAAGACGTCGGAGTTGCGCAGCAGCTGCGCCCGGTCGCGGTTGACGGCCACCACGGCGGTGCCGCGGCCGAAGAGGCGCCCGTAGGACAGGCGGAAATCGCAGACGGTCCCTTGGGGCGGGCAGGGGACGCGGGGGGAGGGTCAGGAGGGGACAGGGGGACACGGGGAGGTGGCCCCGCGTCCCCCGAGGTACCTGCCAGCAGCACCAGGTCGGCGTCGCGCAGCGCGTCGCGGCGGTTCTGCCGCAGCAGCAGGGGACACTCGGGGGGCAGCAGCCCCCGCGCCGCGCCCCCCAGGTAGCAGGGGACACCCAGGGACTCCAGCGCCGAGCTGGGGACACACGAGGGGACAGCGGCACCGTTTGCCCAGTCCCTCCCAGTTTGTCCCAGTCTGTCCCAGTCCCTCCCAGTCCCATCCCATTCCGCCCAGTTCGTCCCAGTTCTGCTCAGTTTATCCCAGTCCCTCCCAGTTCACCCAGTCCCTCCCAGTTTATCCCAGTTTGTCCCAGTCCCCCCCAATCCCCTCCCAGTTCCCCCCAATCCCATCCCAGTCCTATCCCAGTGCCCTCCCAGTTCACCCAGTTTATCCCAGTCCATCCCAGTT